CCTCTCTTCCGGGGGAGACCATGCTGAGTTTTGGGGAGCTGCTCATTGCTGAGTACCAAAAGAAAAATCAGCTGGAGTTCAAGACCATGTTTCAGCTTCAAAAGAGTGCCCATCTGCATAGCAGCCGGGGGGTCATTCCGCAAGATGATCTAGTCGGGCAGCCTGCAGGCTGTTTCCGAAAGACACACAAGGATGTTCCCGTCTTCATCCGTCGGGCCAGCCTGGAGGACTATGTGCTACACATGAAGAGAGGACCTGAAATCACACACCCCAAGGTGAAGTGTGTGAAGATCTCAAACACTCAACAATTTTAGAGTAAATGCTGATGAGTGACTTCTGTTGTCAGGATGCAGCCACCATGCTGATGATGATGGATGTGATGGAGGGGGACTGTGTGCTGGAGTCCGGCTCTGGGTCGGGAGGCATGTCTCTGTTTCTGTCCAGAGCAGGTAAACTCTAATCCCTGCATCTGTCTCACTTTGTCTTTTGTCATMACTGAACTAAAAGSTCAATTTCATTCCAAAATGGATAAAACTCCAATATCTTTGACAGATACTGAGTTTAAGTGTGTTGTGGTAGTAGCCAAGTGTCATGGTATATAGTAATGAAGTACATTTACTTTGTTACAGTACATAATTTTTTGAGTATTTGTACATTCACCAAACATTTTTTTAAATAGTAACTTTTACTTTTATTTCATTATATTCAAAACATAAAAAATGATGCTTTTACTTCTTTACTTTACAATTTAACACAGCAAATTTAAATATGACCAGAACTCATCATGAAGAGTTGTTTATGCCAATGAAATGTTGAACTTAACCAAGTCAACTGGTTCCACTAAATTGAGCAATTTGCAGATTTACTTTAAAATAAAATGTGTACATTGCTTTACATTTTTACCAAAGTCATTTTTTGTTGAGATATTTTCACTTTTACCTAGTTATTTTTTTCCAAGTACTTTACACACCTCTGTCCTTAACGTACTTTGCGAAGTCTTTGTTGAATTGGGTGTGGCTAGCGCATTGCTAGCTACTTGACGTGCACACACTGGAGCTCTGTTATGCATTGAGGAGCCTCACCAAAATGAATGGAGGTCAATGGACTGTGAGGTGTCTTCCTGCTGAAAAACTCATATAAGTTCCTTATTTCTTGCTCGATTTTTACAAATTATGGTTCAAAATAAAGCTGAGGAAATTGTAAATTTTAAAGTTATGGAAATTTAAAATAGATAACTAATGTAAATGACTAAACCAGTGGCTTAAATTAAGCATTTTGCTTTTGTTTTTTCATACAAATCAATGAGTTTTGACCAGCTGGATATTCTGAGTCTTATGGTGCGTTCACACCAAACGCGATTTCAGCGTCAGGAGCAGCAGGTTTACATACAAAGTCTATGGTGGATGCGCTTCAAGCAACGTCGGGAA